TTTACCTATCATAATGGATGTCTTCTCTCAAGGAAGCTCTTCGCCATGGACGTCTATTGGGACCCTCCTCAGATCTCAAATCGAACTCATATATACGATATATTCTTAAAGATGCTGGAAAAAAACGCTCCGTTTATTGTACCGCTCCAGTAAGAATCTGACTCACCCTGCTATACTCTACCTTTACAAGAGCCAGATCAGGCCATATCTGCCGATTTCTCCCCTATCGGTCTTGATAGAGCTCAAAAGCATCTACGCGTACCTGTGGGTGATGAATTATTTCCCACCCTATAAACCCGTTCCCGCAGACGAAACTTCGCGGGCCTGATATGTGTTCTGATGAGCTACACTCATCAGTTCCACCAGCTCCGACCTTTACAACTGAGATCTGTCACGCCACGTACACAAGAGTGAATCATCTCCATTCCCTTCGTATTCCATTAGTAAGATGTAAGTCCCACTCGGGCGGCTTCTTCCTAAGAAATGTTGTTTTATTGAACAGATTCACGACAGGATGTTTTCCCAATCACCTTTGACCCCGTCAACTCTAGGGTTAACCGTTAGCTTTTCTGCATAACTCCATGAACTTCATTTCTTGCCTTTTCTTACGCTCATGCGGCATCATACTAATCCTTTACCTTGGTGGCTCTTGGGTCTTGCACTAGGCAAATATTGGTATAAAAAACGTTCATCACTATTAGTAGAATTGGGAAAACTCGTAAAGCGGTAATTTGGTCTCTACATGAGATTACGCACGAGAACAGGACAAGTTTCACCATCTGCTGCAGTCTTTTAACGAAGAATGCCAATTTTTAATTTTTGCATCGCCTACTTACAGCTGATGAAAAATAGGATTTACATGTCAACAGAAAATGGAAAAACAGTTGTTATCACAAAATGAGAATTCAGTGAAACTACAACCAGGACTCTATCCGCAAAGGTGTTTGCTTTGTGTCTAGTAGAATATGTAAGGATGATGATATATTAACAGTTTCCTTATAAGGAAATATTCGGCATTCATTGACCGAATAGCTAGTGCTACGAGGGTTACACTGTTCTTAAGTCCCCGGTCTAAGATCACAGTGCAGTATATGTTCTCCTCGTCTCTAACGGTAATGGCAATATATTAACTGTTTCCTTATAAGGAAGCATTCGGCCTTTATTGAGCGAACAGTCAGTGCTACGTTCGGTTGGAATTCATAAAATCTTTCTCTTTTATTTAGGAAAATTGGTTTCTCAAGTCCAGTAACTGTTATTGTTCTTTCCACTATTGACGGAGGCCTCCTTTGTAGGCTTTTATTTGAATAAAGATATTGTCCTTTAAGAGATTTGGAAACACAGAAGAACCATCACTACAGGCTTTTATACAGATTTGTTGCTAATGTGATAATTATAACTCAGTTACGAAGTTTGGAAGCTGCACTTACGGAATTATGAATATCAGAATCTGAAATGATCATTCAATAAGAGGCATAAAATTAATTAAAATTCCACATTTGATTATATTCCCATTAGAGTGTACTTTATTGTCCGCAGAATGAAATAGGCTCTAGGGGATGATAATGATGGGTAAACTGGACTTTAACAAAGTGATTTTGATAGGTTTTGTTTTAATCGTCTCACTCCAAGCAAGGCAATAAAAGCCCCTAAGACACTTACCGAGTGTTAGAGAATATGAGAACAATATACTATTAAGGAGAGAAGGCAATAAAAAGAACAAGAATAGTCATCGATGCAGAAGCTCGTGGAATTTTTGTTCCTACCCCGGGTATACGCGCTCGGGTCCCCACATTAAACCGACCTTGTGTCATAACCTGACTCGTGGGGGTTTGTGTAAATACAAATTACTCTCTCTTTCTCGAGTTGTTTGTAACATATTATTTATCATCTCTCAGTTGCGTCTCTGTCTTTGGAGAGAGTGCGCTCAGTGGGCAGCTCCGTCAAAGGACAGAGTCGCAACTGGGGAAATTTATACTGAGAGGTACCCGGTCCTGGGGAACAGCTACCCGAGGCCGCGCCCTCTCATTGCACCAGAGAGAGGGGTCGATGCTTGTACCGAGGCTTCTAGGACCAACCATCTTTTTACTTCTGCCTAGGAGTATACCGCGATTATTTGTGAATATCTATGCTGATGCTACAAACGGTATATAGGTGCACCTCTAAAATCTCTCGGTGACCAGAGCCTGCCAGCTGATCTCCCCTCCGATCTACTTCATCGAAAAGAAAATTAGTTGCATTCCGTCACCGAAGATCGAACACCGAACTACCCCCAGTCACGATAAATGGATGTTCCCTTAGGGAGGGCCCGTGCCTTGAGCGCCTATTGGGCCTTAAACTCAATCCAGACCTCTAGTGGGACTCGTACATATGAGCCATTGCTAAAGATGCAGGAAAAATGGTTGGTACCCTGTACCGCTCTCGTAAGTACCTGACTCCTTGAGCTATCCTCTATCTTTACAAGAGCCAGATCAGGCCTAAAAATGAGGTACTACCGTCATATTTGGACAGGAGATGCCCAGTCCTCACTCTCCAGTTTCGATAGAGTCCAAAAACGTTTCCGTGTCCTTGTGGGTGATAAATTATTTTCCACCCTGCAGCCTCTCTCTCGTAGACGAGATGTCGCAAGCCTCTCACTACTTTATCGCTACATCCATGGAAAGTGCTCAGACGAGCTACATTAATTCGTTCCACCAGTTCTAACCTTCACGGCTAGGACCCGCCATGCCACAGACATTGTAGCAGACCACACTCATTCCCTCCGTATTCCACTGGTGAGAAATAAGTTTCACTCAAGCAGCGTCTCCTCGCTAACCACTGCTCTGTGGAAACGACTCCCAAGAAGATGTTTTTTCGATCACTATAATCTTAACCTGTTTAAGACTAGGTTTTACAGTTATCTTATCCACATAAACTGAGCTACGTACTTTGTAACCCTCTAGCTCGAGTCACTTCCGGGCCTTGTACAGGGCAAACCTCAGCGTAAAATATTAAGAAGTTAGAAGATAACGATTGACTTTGCTCTCCTCTGCTCTCTCTTTCCCTCCTTTCTCTCTCTCTCTCTCTCTCTCTCTCTCTCTATATATATATATATATATATATATATATACGAGAATGGGCTGAAAAGTTTATATATATATATATATATATATATATATATATATATATATATATATATATATATATATACGAGAATGGCTGAAAAGTTTATATATATATATATATATATATAGAATGGGCTGAAAAGTTCATAGGATGACTATGAAGGCATGATGCTAGAGCTGTGAAATCTTGCAAGCATTAATGCCAACCCTTTTTATTAATAACTGCGTATATATATATATATATATATATATATATATATATATATATATATAATATTAAAAAGCCTATTTATATAAATATGTTTTAATCATTTTTACCCAGTATGAGAAAAAACTAGGAGAAAGAACAATAAAAAAAAAAAAAAGAATTAAGAAGACAAGTGATCACGATTGACATTGTATTTAACTTTCTGAAGATCATAATTGATTGATAAGCAAGAAGTGGAACAGTGCTTCACAATCGTGAAGTACGATAGCATAGAACTTACGCCTGCAACTAGCCATTTTAACTACAAAATGATGAGACCTTGCCGCCAATGTTTCCATGAATGCAGTTGTACATGGTATAATATTTGAGTTATCGCATCCTTGCTCACTTCTGTGCAGTTTGCCAGCAATTCTATATTTCACCCCCTTTTTGACACTTTTCCCTCCATTTATGATGCGGTTCATATTACAAATAAAAGAATTCTTTACCTTTGAAGACTACAAACAGTTTATGTTATTATATTAAATATAACTATTTTTAACCCATGAAAATTTCAAACTTTTCTTGTGTGAATTTCCTAATGAATCTTAATTCTTTAGTTAATGATTGAATGAACTCATGGTGAATTCTATGACTAATAAGATAGCCGTAGAAATTGAGCTTAACGACTTTAACAAAATATGGCAATAACAATCATAAATTTGAATGCTGGTCGCTATTTTAAGAAGTAAAGAGGTACAAATTAAAATGTCTGAAATTGTTAATTTTTTTCCACATATTTCTATCGTACCCTGTAGAAAACGCACTTCTTTCCCGACATGTTTTTTGGTTATTTCCACTGTAATCGTTTTTTACACTTTGCATGAGGTCAGTTACTAAATATGACACCAAACGTCAATGTTATAATAACCAACTTAAGATTTTTTTTTCAAATGCTTTGTGTACTGTATTTTCAATACATTTTTCACATAAAAAGGTTTAGTTGCCACCATGAGTTTTCGTTCCTGCCGTAGTCATTAAAACCAATGGAAAAAAAAAACTTGTTTTCAGACTTGATGGAAAGAGAAAAAAAAAAAAGAAACGAGATAACTCGTGGTCGGCATCCTAATAAAAATGCCAACCACGAGTTATTAGGTTGGTGCAAAAAGTAATGTCGTTTTTTGACGTTCAACTTAACGTCAAAAAACGACATTATTTTTGCACCAACCTAATATTTCATGGTTAGCAGTCAATGTGTTATGAATGTTGTCCCTAAACTTTGTCCACTCGTTTTTGGTTTATAAATATTTATCAAAACTCCAGTTGTCTTTCCCGTTTGTGTCATTAATTTTTTTTTCTTTTAAGCCCTTTTTAATTTTAAGCGCGAAGACTTTTTGTAATTGGTGTTTTTCTTTTCATTTTTGTTGCGCTTATTTTTAAAGTTCATAATTATCGTTCAAATTACTTTAGCTTTGCTTTTGATATTTATTTCTTTCCTTTTTAGCCG